TTTTTTTTTTTGGTGCTTGGTGTCCCAACAACGTTAATGGGTTAATAATGTATGCCAGGGATAATGATTTGCATAAACTACTTTTCATGCCTAATGGACTGCCTGATGGGACCGATGTGGCTTATTATTCTAAAGGGAAGGTTGTATCTCAGCTTGGTTAATCTAAGTTACACGCTATTTTTATCTCTTGCCAGTTGGTTAACTTTGGTCAGATTCACGTCTTTTGCAGAGGATTCTTAAGGGTTACAAGCAGGGTAATGGTATAGTCTGCAGTTGTTGTAACTCTGAGGTAAGTCCAGCTATCTGCATGTTTTGGTTTCTGATTCATAAATTTAATCTATTGATGCCTTTCACATGTTTTCATCTAACAGCTGCTGTATTTCTTCTAAACAGATAAGTCCATCGCAGTTTGAGGCCCATGCTGGAGGGGCAGCAAAAAGGCAACCGTAAGTAGCTATTGATAAAAAAGTAGCTATTGAAATATAAAAAAACTTACTGCATATTCGGTTGAGAATCAGTGTAATTTGTGTTCGTTTTTGCAGTTATCGTCATATATATGCGGCCAGTGCTATTGAAATATAAAAAAACTTACTGCATATTCGGTTGAGAATCAGTGTAATTTGTGTTCGTATTTGCAGTTATCGTCATATATATGCGGCCAGTGGGTTGACACTTCATGATATAGCCTTGATGCTAGCAAATGGCCAAAATATTAACTCCAGTGGCAGTGATGACATGTGTGCTGTATGTGGAGATAGGGGTGAACTTATGATATGCAATGGATGCCCTCGAGCTTTTCATGCCGGTAAATTTTCTTTTAGGACTGCTTTTTCACTTACTAATTTTATAATGATTCTGTCATGATTCATCTTTTACCCCTTATTTCAATTGTAAGATTGGATTTAGTTTGGTAAAATCCTTGTCAAAGGGCGGAATGGCCATATGCAGTAAACAAATAACATACTTTAGTTGCCATTTTACTGTAGTATTCTACTATTGATATTTTTATTTAATATGTGATTGTGGTTAGCTTTAACTTACTGTGATTGATTCACGTTGAGATTGTTGCAGCTTGTTTAGGTTTACAGTGTCCCCCCACCGGTGACTGGCATTGTCAATATTGCAAAGACAGATTTGGTCCTGGCCGGAAAGCATCTTCTGGGTCACGACATATTATTCTAAGGTTAAATAGAGTTGTCAAAGCGCCAGAATTTGAGCCCGGTGGTTGTGTTATCTGCAGGTCAGTTGTGTAGGGTTGCAGTTAGTCTACATACTTCCTATGGTTTTCTTGTTTTGTGATAGAAAATGCTTTGCAGTCAATAAAAATTTGGAACGGATATATCATGTGTTTCATTTGTCTCCTTTTACTGATTCTTGTTTCTTCTTTCCTTGGTATAGATCACAGGATTTCAGTGCAGTTAAATTTGATGACAGGACAGTGATAATTTGTGATCAGGTATTGTTTTTTTTTTTTTTTTTCATATCTTTTTTCGATATTGCATCCAGGCCTATTAATCTGATTTCCGTGTTTTGGATGTACTATCTTTTTTATTTCTGATCTGTTATTCTAATTTTCTAGTGTGAAAAGGAGTATCATGTTGGTTGTCTGCGCGAGTTGGGATTGTGTGATCTGAAAGTAAGTGTCCGATGTATGTTTTTGGTATCAAATATCGCTGGAATAGTCGGACATTTTTTTTATTAACTTATGTTTAATATGTTTTTTTACAGGAACTTCCTGAAGATAAATGGTTTTGTCGTGATGAATGCCATAAGATTTTTGAAGCACTTCAGAATTTGGCCTGCAGTGGTCCTAAGGTGATTCCAGCTTCAGTATCGGGCACAATTTATGAGAAGCACGAAAAATTAGGTTTCAACACCACACAAAAGAATGATATCCAGTGGTGTGTCTTAAATGGAAAAAGTCGCTTTCCCGAGCATATATTGCTGCTTTCTCGAGCTGCAGCAATCTTTCGTGTAAGTTCTTGTTATGAAGACGTGTACTGCTATCTTTTCTTAGTGCATACAGTAATTCGGAATTTTTACGTGGAAAATATTGCTTTAACATTTTTTGACAGTCATGGTTTGTTATTGCTTATTCAAATTTATACTTTTTTTTTTGAATTGTGGAACTTATTTCTTGATCGTCTATGTAGGAATGCTTTGACCCTATTGTTGCCAAGTCTGGTCGGGATCTCATCCCAGTTATGGTTTATGGGTGAGTAATTAACCTTCCATTGATGTGTGTCATTCCTGATTAACCGACTTAAGTTATTAGTATGCCTGTAACAGTATAACTTCCCTTGTATTATTTTTTACAGGCGGAACATCTCCGGTCAAGAATTTAGTGGAATGTATTGTGTTGTTTTAATTGTACAGTAAGTCATTTTGAATTCCCTCCATTTATTTATTCTCGTTGCTTTATCTGAAATCATTACACCCTCAAAAAATCCCGCAAATTGGTGGTTTGCAGGTCAGTCGTTGTATCAGCTGCTCTTCTCAGGATATTTGGACGAGATGTTGCCGAACTTCCTCTAGTGGCAACTAGTAGAGAAAATCAAGGAAAGGTAAATCTAATTAATGGTACTTAGTATATTGGATGAGTATGTTAAACTAATCTACCGACAGAGGAAAAATATATATATATAAAATTGACCAATGTAAACAATTGCCATCTAGGGCTATTTTCAAGCTCTGTTTTCCTGCATCGAGAGGCTTCTTTCGTCTATGAGTGTGAAACACCTGGTCCTCCCTGCTGCTGAGGAAGCTGAACCTATGTGGACTAATAAGCTGGGATTCAGAAAGACTAGCAGTGAACAAGTAAGTCCTGAAAACTCTTAGTGGACTTTTTTTGGTCTAGTGAAACTTTGGTTTCCATCAAAATGTGGATGCAAGTGGAAAAACACCAAGTGATCAGAAATAAGTTCAACCAGCTGCAAAATGGATAGTTGTTGGAATAATTTGTTTGGATGTTTGTGAGATGCGTGATATGAATTCAGACTTTTCACTGCATTGTCCATGAATTTATTCCCACCCGGAATTTGTGATGGAAAATCTTTTCTTGCAACAGCAAATATTAATTTATTGCACCCGATTAAGGTCTACGACCCGAGTCCGTATACCCCTAAATAAATTGAACAATGAAAGTTTTTATTCCATTTCCATATTGGTGGACATTCATTTTTGCTTCATGCTCAGATCCTCAAATTGGAGATACAACCTCATAAATTATAGGGTGTTTATAATTTATTTAGTTTTATTTATTCATTTGTCTATTAATGAAAATGTCAACTGCTTGATTATTGAGAAATTTCCTGACAAATGGACCTATCATTTTAGCAGATGCTCAGGTACAGGGATTATCAGCTAACAGTCTTTAAGGGTACATCCTTGTTGGAAAAAGAGGTACAACAGTTGCAGGACTAATTCAGCAGATTGGGCCTACCTCAAATTGGGCCCTTTTAGACGAGCCCGGGGCATGAAACCCTGTCGGCAAAAGGGTGATATCTGGATATATGAGTGGTTTATTGCCATGGCTACTCTCGAATCTTATATCGAGTACTATGACTTTAAATTAGCCACAAAAATCATCATTTTAAAGGAAAATGAGTATTGAAAGGCTTTATCTTCTAGGGAGCCACATCTGTGATGTCGGTTGTCAGAGAAGATGTTAACTATTGAGGAGCATCACGAGCTGGTTTTCAAAAGGTCGAAGGATTTGAATTTGGATTTGGATTTGGATTTGGATTTGGATTTTTCACTCCTTGTAGAGTCCTTTCGGCCTTTGGCCTTCACTAATGGATTTAGTATGATTGCCTGATGATAGACAAAATAGTACAAGTGTTACTCGAAAATTCTCAGGCATGCGGTCGTTTTAAATTTGCATGCGTGACGAGCTTTCTTGCTATTTTTCCTCCTCAATTTGTTTTTCCTGACTGAGAAGTGAAGAATGTTTTTGGATATTATGGTTTGTGTAGAACGAGTATTTTGTCTAGTTATTTGTAATCGTGACGTGAACGCAGTGTTTGATGGAATTATATCGTAGTGGAGTTTGCTGTGGTTTCATGAGTTTGCTGTTGATTCATTGAGCTCGTGAGCTTTTTTTTTTTTTTTTTTTTTTTTTTTTTTTTTTTTTTTTTTTTGAAGGAAAGCTCTCTTCATTACTATGAATAAATTAAATTATGAAGCAGGAGATGCACGGTTTTAATTGGGGTAAATTGCGTCAAACCCCCCTGTATTATACGAAATCTGCGTCTTATCCCCTTGTATTTTAAAAAATGCGTCATACCCTCTTGTATTATACTTTTGATTGCGCACGCTCTCCCCTCCTCGTTTCCGTGTTAACTCCGTTAATTTTTTGCTTAACTTTCCGTTATGCCTTCAGAAACAAACAATTACAGTAAGTCTAAAGCAGTATAAATTGAAAATCATATTTTGCTCATAAATCTCGATTTTTCTACAGTTGGAATCTATGTGAACACTCGTTTTCTTCCAAAGATTTAGATGGCAACGGAGATTTTACGGCCCAGGTTCGGAGTCCATCCGACGTCGTTCTGACGATCTTACGGGTCGGAGGCAGATCCAGTCGCTGTCGCCGGCCGACGTCTTCGCCGTATCCGCTTCGCCCTGTCGCCGTCTCCCAGATCCGTCCCCCTGCCTTCGTTCTCTCAGATCCGTCCCCCTCCAATTTCGAATTCCTATTGCATGTGCTTTCACGGCGGTCCGTCGGAGATGGCGCCGCATCGCCAATCACGACCGTCCATGATGCTCGCCTCCATCTCCACTGTAGGGCCTTCGCGAAGGTCCTGGAGCTCCTTGTCTGTTCTGATGCCGGCATCTCAATTGATTTGACCCTGGGCTCTCTTAGACTCATCACAGCCGCCGACGACCTCGGCAACGAGGTATGCGCCGTCCCCGATGAAGGCCCTGCCGCTGTATAGATCGAGGGAGAACACCTGTGGCGGCGGCAGATGGAGTTGCTCCCTCATATCTGATTTTCTTCTTTTTTTTTTTGAAAATTAGGGTTTTCACCCTTTGTAAATCAGGCAAAAATAGCATGCTTTTCTTGGTGGCGCCGTCGTTCGAGTCCAAATTCAGGCAAAAAATAGCACGCTTTTCTTGGCTCTGATGATCCTCCGACTTCTTCACAATTACTGCAGCAATTTGGAAGAAAATGGATTGAAGAACCCTCAGCCCAGGAATGAGGAGTGAAATTTAATTCAGGTATTAAGGGGCAAAATAGTCATTTCCCTGAGTTTATGGCAAAAAAATAGAGAAAAAGCCGCACCACACGCGCGTGAAATGCACATCCGTCAAGTTAGACAGTTTAGGGGATAACGCGCAATCAAAAGTATAATACAAGGGGGTATGA